GACACCACGACAGGGATGGGCGGGATGGAGTTCGCGGCGGAGCTACAATGCGTGAATCTGATCTGTCCGGCTCTCTACATGGCGCTGTCAGATGCGATGTCGACTGGGCGATCTTGTGGCTTTGCACGTGCATCGAGCTGCATCGACACATGGTCTTGGGAAGCAATGTTAACACACAACGGCTAAGCAGCATGCAGGCAGTCCATTTCCATTTTCATCTGGGTCTAGCTTGTCTCCAGCGTCTCTATGAGCTCGGACGAAGACTTGCACACCCATCTGCTTCGTTCTCACTTGTTGTGTCAGTCTCCGTGCGTAACCCGCACGTCTCGTCAGGAAAGTCAGCTTGCGCAGGCATGACTCTAGCTCAGTCGACTTGACGTCTGAAAGAGCGGCATCCTGAAGATGCTTGAGCCTTGCTCAGTTCAAAATGTGAAGGTGAAAAATGTGAAAAGCAGATTCTCGCAGAGTACCTCACGGGCCGAAGCAGCACATGACGCAGCCAATGGCCATGAAACAACTGAGGCAGACATGGGCACTCAAGGGGCAGGGCATGTACACATCTTCTAAGGTGGCGACAGAAAGATGTTGAATCACATCATCTTGCCAGCTTTCCACACTCGGCGCGATGTCTATTGGCTTCTGACCCTGCGTCAGTGATCTCTGTGAGTCTGGCTTCTGCAGCAGCATGAATGTTCATTAGGTCGGTGGGGCCTTTGCAAGTGGATGAACCACGAAGCAGGACACGCCTGTGGATGAACCACGAAGCAGGACACACCTTGAGGGGCCAGATCTGAGACAAAGCACTTCCCAGAGCGAGGAGACTGACATGATGCTGCGAGACGATGTATGCCGCCAGCCGGGGACGCCACGGAACATCAGCTGCGACGATCACTGCGGCTGCCAGCGAAAAGCTGCAGCAGTGAACACACATTTTCGCCGCAGTCTACAAGCTCTTCTCAGCAGAGCCGATGTGACCTGAAGCACACATACCGCTTGCAGACCGCGCCTTCTCAGCAGCCCTTGTCAAAGTGCAGGCAGCAGAAGTGCTTCTTCCCGCCAGACCATCCCGCCTGAACAGCACCGCGACAGGGCCACAAGCTGTGATCGAGGCGCCGCACAGGGTCCATCCACCCTGCCAAGCTTTCTAGTCTTGGGGCCGGACCGTGACGCCCGCGAAGCAGTCGAACTGCAGGTTGCCATGCGTGTGGACCTGTTTCATGTCGACACGACCAGTGCTGATTTTCATGAGGAGATGCCAGATGGGCTGCACCCGGCCTGGACCCAGTGGCCCGAGCCGCCAGACGAGGACTCGGATCATGCGCAGGCATGCACAACAACTGGCTGCCTGTAGGCATAACTTTAGAACTTCAATGACGTTCATCACGACTTGCTCCGGGCCGCCCAGTGCCACATCATGCCGGAACCAGCTGCGGAGGGAGGATGGCCGTGGAATGAATATGCACCGCCGAAGCTGCCACCTCCGCCGCCTCTCGCAAGTGGCAGCCGTCCCAACATTGGACATGCGACACGCAGCTTCGTTATGTTCCCCTGCCTGTAACCACGGTGTGCGTCGTGACCACGGTTTTTCCACCGCCCCCAGCGCCGGCGTAGTGGTAGCCAGGGCAGCCCACCTTCTCGTGGGAACAGCACCTCGACACCAGAGTCGGTTCGGTGCTTCACGATGGTCCGGACATGTCTGTATGCTGTTGCAATTGTTGCACATAAGCGTGCGCCGATGGCCATCTACACAAGGCGGCAAGGCGGGCACCACGTCTTCTTCGGTGTCGACCATCCCGTGCCCCAATTGCGCAAGCCTCAGACGCAGCACCGCCGGGGCTTTCGAACAGAAGCTGTGCTGAGCCCCTCGGTGCTTGTGGCCCAGCAACCGGCGTGGCAGTCATAGGGCTTGCTCACGACCGAACCGCCCACAGCAGCTACGGCCTGCCGAAAGCGGCACGGGCATTGCCAACAACGAAGCGCACTCCGTGGGAGGCCTGCCACGTCCAGTGGTTCGAGACGAAGACCTTCCTGAGGTCTGCAGCTGACCGTTTGGCAACCACGCGCGGCTGCAAGATTGTACGAGTGGCTGGCTACCCATGGCTGCTCGCCCTGCTGCCGAGATGCTTCCAGACCATGCCGGCGCCAGCATCGCAGTCCGGAGGCGTGTCCGGATTCTGGCAGCCCTTGTGCTCGTTCTGGCAGCACCAGACCTTCTTCTCGGGCGACCATGCGCGGCACCTCGAAGACATCACAATGACTACTAGTATAGATTTTCCCCCTCTGTGGCTCGCTC